CCGACCCGAATAAATCCCACGGCATCAGACAACAGGGCCGAGATCGTATTCAAATACCCCTGAGGGAGGTTAAACCGAGCTAGCACCAAATGAAAACCACTGCTGCGACATACTAGGGAAGGCAGCTCGTATATCAAAGGAAAGGAAACTGGGTCGGCGGGAGGAAGCGTCATCTCCGATACTGCTTAGCCGGGCCTCAGCGTCTAGGTTTATAATGTGGGCCCCGAAATTGCGGCCGTTTATGAAACCTTGCTGAAAACAATGAACCTGTTTCTTTGCTACTTTGGACGGGTATGCGTTGACGGCCTGGGCGAGGGCTTTACAATCGGTGTTCTTTAAATTCAGAGGCCTAAGCGAGCCAGCATCGCACGCGCGCTCAGAAAGATCGCGAGGTTCTTCGCCTTTGGAAACGAACGCACAATTCGAATGAGTTAAACCTTCGACAGGCCCCGCACCCGAGAAAATCCGTAACAACACATCATATTACACTTCGGCAACAGCCGGGGCAGCCCTCCACGCCCCATACGGAAGCCGATCGGGGCCAGGGGAGGAGGCCCTCCCTCGTTTAAAGCCGTCGCAAGGTCTTCAGGAGTGGGGAGGGGCAGACCATTGAACGGAATGGCAGGGAGGCGCGTGTCAAGCATTCAGAGATCGCCGCCTCAGAGCGAGAGGCAGCAGCGAAGATCGGCTCCCAGTGCTGCTTGGTGATGTTGGCCATGGGCGCGGGCTCGCGCCCCGCCATGTCGACGCCGCACTGCGTGTGCTTGAGGCCGTGGAGCACCAGCCGTCTGCGCGAAGGATTCCACGCCAGCGCTTGCCTCATAGCCGTCTGCTGCACCTTCACCAGCTCTGGCGCACCTGCAGGCGAATCGTCACCTTGGGGGTGCCGTGCCCTGCGAGAAGCTGCACGGGCCGCCTGCTGGGCCACCTCATCGAAGCGCTGCTGGCTGGATTCCATGACCAGGTTGCGGTGCTCGGCAGCGTTCTCGAGGTATACGGCGCTATCATCGAGGATCCGCAAGAACTGCTGAGCGATCTGGGAGCTTCCACGCAGACGGTGGGCGAGGCGAGCGTCCTGCCGCCACGCGGCACGGGCGATGGCCCTCGGCGTCATGCTCAGCTCTGCTGCCCCACTGCCAGCGAACAGCAGAAGGCCCTGTTGCACTTCATCCCCCGCGATGGCCGCGACAAGGTGCATCAGCTCCTTCATGCGCGCCCACTTCCCCTCCACGTCGTAGATGTGCCAGTGGTCAGCGTCGGTGCAATTCTGCAGCACCGCGCTAAACCTCGGTAGCTTGAAGATCGTCGGCGGGATTGAACAGAGATCGTGGCTCGGTGGCTTCGTCGGGGCGGGCTTCATCCCGATGATCGCGCGGTCTGACAGGGCCCAGTCGGACAACTGCGGAGCCGCCTGGATGACATCGAGAGCGGCGTCGCAGTCTGTGGCAAAGTGGGAACCCAGCGAAATGAACGCGCGGCCACTCGTGCTCAGCGCCTCAGCGTCTCGGCTGTAGCGGGCGGGGTTCGGACTCTCTAGCTCCAGCATGCCATGCGAGAACAGGTCGCGCCAGAAGGGCTCACCTTGCGAGGCCACGCCCTCCTGCGAGCGCCGTGCTCGAAGCCTCTGAAGAAAGAGCGGGGGCTGGGTGACCGCGCCGCTGACGTTGAAGCCCCCAGCAGCCACGCAGAGACGCGCCAGCTCATCATGATGAACCCAGGATACATTCTGCATCCGGCGAAGACGGATACGTTGGCGCTGGTCACGCGAGATCCCATAGTTATGCACATTCATGAACCGCACCTCTTTGCTTGTCGACGGGTTACGAATAGCCGGGCGGCGAACAATAGGGAGATGATCAAGCTGAGGTTCATGGCCAGGGGCCAGTGGTAGAAGAAGGTCAGCAACATGCCAGGGCATGATAATCGCCGCCCCACTTCGACTCGGACGGACGTCGTTCTCGCCAAAATCTTCGGGGGCACCCTGGGTAGAACAGCTTGTGCTATATATTGAATTGATTCAACAAGGCCACCAGTGTCATTGCATTGCCGTGGGCCTCTTGCAAGAGAAGCACGTGGCGAGAGAGGAGAAACTGCTTCAGCTTGAGGAACTTCTGACGCCGATGCTCGCGGTTGCAGCAGCATAGCCCACGAGCGTTCCAGCTCACAACCCGAAGTTCTTGAGTGCCACCTTTCCCCCGTTCCCAAGGAAGTCACCTTTTGCTCGGATAACGTCCATGCCGAAGTGTCCACGCCCTGGAACTGTCGTTTGGAAAGGCCTGCCATGAGCTGTATATTGATGTTCTTCTGCGCACGACCTTCTGGTGACCATGCCAGCTTCGTGGCTTCATTCGGACCCTGTGGCTGCACCTCGACGATGGGTGCTGAGTCATAGCTGACGAGGCCGCGGGCACGAAGCAGTCGCCAATCTTGATCATGATATTGTCGTTGAAGCAGTAGCAGTAACCTCTTACTTTGTATTTCTTTGCGGATCTGCTTCGGTGACTTGCCAGGGTTGATGTACAATGCGCCAGTGGCTCCGCTGACCGCCAGTGCCGAGAAGCACCGCCAGGTCTCTCCAGGAAGTTGAAGATGCTGGGCCAGCTTGAGAGCCCGAGCGATGCCAGGGGCGCCACCAGGAAGATGAAGAAATAATACTTTGCCAGAGGGCTGGCCGTAGACCGTGTACTGGTTCGCGTTGACGCCTGCGTATGTGATCCACTGCTTGATGGAGTTCTGCACCTCGATGTCGGAAGTTGCTTGAGCGCAGCCGATCCTGAAGATGCTGGGGTCTGGGGGCTTGTCGTACATGGCAAGCCTCGCCAAGTCAACAACACCTGCTTCGGCATCAGCAGCCTGAGCGAGAGTTCGTTGCACAGCTTCAAGACCCGATCGGAGAAGTCCATGGCGCGCTTCCATGGAGTCAGCACGCTCATGAAGGCGCCGAATTTTACTATCGTGTACGTCCAGCCGCGCAGCCTGGGGCCGCAGGAGTCCAACGACCGTGTCGCGCATGTCGCTGTGGGCCCGGCCCATGATGGAATTGAGATCCCGTCGCACCCCGAGCATTTGTTGGCTGAAGGCTGCCTTGACCGCCGCCTCGATGCCGTCGGCCGTGGAGGTGGCAGCACCCCTCGAAGAGCCAGCACCACCTTCAGCCCCGAGGCTCGAGAATACAGCACCGCCAGCACCGCGCCACGAGTCTCCTCGCCCATGAAGCGGGTCTTGCTAACGATGAGCAGACCCATCCTCTGGGAAGGCCGGGGCGATCTCGATCTCACGAGCCATACCTGGTGTGAACGTCGGGAAGACACCCGCAGCCCCTGGACCACGATGGCCGCCGTCAACAGGAGCAGGAGCACTCGCACCACGGCGCTGGTCGGACTCATCATCGCGGCGAGCATGCCCATAGCTCCCGCTGCTAGAACGCGAAGAGGAGCCGTCGGCCCCGATCTCTCCGCCGACGACGAGCTTCGTCCTCCCTTCGACGTCGCCGTGCACGACGGTCTCGGGTAGAGGCACCTCTGCTGCTCCTGCTGCGATCGGAGGCTTCATCGCTAGGCATGCGGCTCAGAGTCGCGCAGAATGGAATGTGAATGTGCGAGTCCAATCGACAACTGGGATATGGAATATATGAAGCCACAAAGCACGGGCACTGAGGCTCCTGTGCCGCGAGACCTGTCCTCGCAAGAGGGGCGCTCTGAGCCGTCCCCTCGGCAGCGAACAAGCTCGAAGCGCCAGGGAAGCGTTTCGAACTTGAACCAAAATGGCTGGAGCCAAAATGGTTACGGTGTTACGGAGAGGAGGGGGGCCAGCGTCACAATGAGGTCGATTGCTCCTTAACGCCCTGGGCGAGCCGCTGCCGCACGTTGACGGGCGCGGGCGAAGGCTGGGGCGGCGCGCCGGCCGCGCGGGAGGTCTGTAGCCGCCCGAGCGGCTCGGGCACACTCGAAACCCTCCTGTTACGGAGAGGAGGAGGAGGAGGAGGAGGAGGAGGAGGAGGAGGAGGAGGAGGAGGAGGAGGAGGAGGAGGGAGGAGGAGGAGGAGGAGGAGGAGGGAGAGGAGGAGGAGGAGGAGGAGGAGGAAGAGGAGGAGGAGGAGGAGAGGGGGAGGAGGAGAAGGGGTAAGACGAGGGGAGGAGGAAGAGAAGGAGCGGACGGACCGCCTATGTGTCTGGACTCGCGTCTTGCGAAGCGAGAGGAAACGCTTCGAGCGGATCGTTTCGCATGTGGCCAACACCAAGGAGGGGGCGCCGAGTCGAGCCTCCCAGAGTGCCTGTGGGCCCCACTCCCGCTCGCTCCGAAGATGAGTTCGAGTAGGGGCCGAGGGCAGTAGCACGGGCAGACGAATTGGCCGTGGGCCTGTCTCCTGCCCGCGCCCGTCCGGGACCATGGCCGAAGCTTTGGTCCCGAAAACGGTGCGTTGGCGGACCTTGCGGGGACTTCGAAAACCCATAAGACCTCACCGCGTGGTCGGTCACCGCACGGTTCTGGAATCCTGGAGGCCCAACGCGACCGAGACGTCCTCGGAGAACGGCCCAGGTCCCAAAACCGTGCAGTCACCCCGAATCTTCACTGACTCGCCGCAAAGTGCCGTGACCGAACCGATTGAGAGCCCCCGACGAAGACCAACGGGGCGCCCCGAGGTCCGGGGCAGGGTGATGAAGAGGCGGAGCGCAGACGGACGTCGACCTGGTTACCTGGAAGTGTTCACAGGGAGTGTTTTGGTCCTGTTCGCCACTCGCACCAGGGTCCTCCTTGGGAGGCCGTGGACACATTGCGCACGCAACCACCGTCGATCAGCTAGGGCCTTGTCCAAACATGCACGCCTGCGAGAACACCGACAACCACTGTGGAGTTGTCCGGTACTCGAGCTGCGGGCGCTGGATTTGGTAAACTCCACATTGCCGGCTGCATGCCAGGCCTGTGGCAATACATCTAGGCGTCAAGCCAGATCGAAAACAGTGCAAATCTGCGCAAGCTCAGGCGCGCACCTCAACAATTCAGGCCAGCACGTACCGAAGTGCCTGGCTCATTGAAAATACGAGCTGCGCGCAACATGTCAACGAAGCGGGAACAATCGCACACATTGCTCTGATGCAGCGGCCTTCCTTTTCACAACCTCACCTTCCTCCCTTTCGCAACCAGTCGACAATTTCACATTACGAGCATGCCTGATGGCGGCTTGATGGCGCAACGGTGGATGATCGACAGGCTGATGTGCGGGGGAGTGGGCACAGACAAGGACTGGGTGCATCAGTGTTCGCACGTCTCATGTGGAGATGCATGCGCAGACGAGTTGTTACTTAGCACCGCGACCTGACCATGAAGGTAGCGCGCAACAGCTGTTCAGAACAGAAGGGCAGCATGCGGCAAGTCCTGCGGAGTCTGCCACACAGCGGCTGCGATGACCTCGCGCGCCGCAGGAGGCGCGAGACGCCCGTCATCGGATGATTGCTCTCTCAATTGTCTTGCTCGGACGGCACATGCGGCCTGGTAACACGGACGAAAAGCTTAGCCCCCAACTCCCCCCCACCCCCGAGCGCGCTGGAGACCCGAACCACTAGCAAGAGGTGAACACTCCCAAGGCGCCGCCCCGCCGCAGCCCGGGACAAGCGGCCTGGAGGCGAGCGGTGCAACGCTGGGGAATCCATGCGCCCCTGCTCATACCGTCCCGCTCCGCCCCCAACCTGTCCTTTCCACCTTGGATTCCCTCCCCCCTGTTCTCTCGTCCTCTCCGCTTCCCTCTCTTCGCATCCCTGCCATTCCCTGTCAGTACACTGTCAAATGATCTGGCAAATGAGCCTTTGCTGGGCCGTGGGCGCCAAAGCCTCTCCCCAATCGAGTCTGGAGGCCGCCAAAAACGCCCAAGATAGCTGCGCGGGCCTCCCAAAGGATCTCCAAGACCGCCTCACAAGACGGCCCACGATGCCTCAAGATGGCCCCAGGGTGGCCCTAAGGCGCCTCTCAGAGGCCCGGGCATGGCTCAGGACAATGACACCGACAGGCAACACCGTCACATCAAGATGGGCGTTCATACATTTGCGGTCGCTTCAACATTTCGACTGAAGATGGCTCGAAGCAGAACCCCAGCTGGGGGCCTCACGAGCCCACAATATTACCAAATGTTGCTTCCAGTGTAGCCCACCCTGGCCTCCGATGCAACTCCAGGACATGCCGAAACGCCGAAACGACCTCACGACCCCCTAGATGCTCCCCAGACCCGTCAAAAGGCCCTGCGATGCCCTCAAGGATCCAAAAACACCACCCAGAGACCCGACTCATTAAGGGCCCCCAGAGAGCCCAAGAGCGGCCCCTTCTGGCACCAGCATAGCCCCGAAAAGGCCCTGCGATGGGGTAGGCCAGTGATGTCGCGACCTCTCGAGATGAAGGCTGTGCTGGTTACCCGTTGTGTCGGAAAGTGTGTCAGAAATTCTTCGCTGCTGTTCTTCCATGTCAGTCGGCGCCTCTGATTCGATGATTCGTTGACTACCCATTCGTCTTCCTTTCTGCTTCTCGGTGGGCGTCACCGTGCGGGTGTCACCGTTTCGCATTGAGCCGCTCCGTGGATGTAGTCCGCGGGTTCACACTGTTAGATAATAGCACCCGTTGCTCTCAGAAGGAGTGAGGAGGCGGGAGGCGTCGGCAGTTTGCGAAGCTCGAGAGCGCAAGTGCAGTAGACAACGACAATCCACACCTATATATAGACATACATACATACATACATACATACATACATACATACATACATACATACATACATACATACATACACACATACATACATACATTCATACATACATACATGCATACATACTTACATACATACATACATACATACATGCATGCATATGTACATACATACATACATACATACA